CCCCCAGTCGGAAAGTAGTTCCCGCGCCCCTGGTCGGACGGATGAGGTGGGCTGAGGGGTGTGGATATATTATGGAGAAGCAACAATGCGGCATGCATAACGCCGGCAAACTGTAAAAAGAACGTGACAATTACGTTTACAACAAATCTTTTAGATACGACGAAGTGTTGAGCTGCTGCCTGCTAGTAGTGTCCATTTTTTTGTGACTTCTCACAGCATACCAATTACAATCACAGCCGGATCAATAGACATTTTTCATGATAACCACAGGTAATATCCGATGTAAGTACCTGCACCTATATTACCTACATGAAGATAATTGTCCGCACTCGAAGCACGGTCTGGCAATATCATTGGAAGGCATTAGACATTATTGAACAGATATCAACACGTCGGAGAAGCTTGCAAAAGGTTGGGTCGAGACTCGAGTGCAAGACATGTCACAACAAGGCAAGCCGTATTTTCGATGTAGATTTACCGGAGCTAACGTAGGTAATATTATAGGCATATCTACTGTGAACAGCTAGGTAGGTGTTACCAGCTTAACTGCGTAAGCCGAGCAATTAGAGGATATAATTTTCGGACCGAATTCCACTTATTAACACCGTAAAGTGTCACGCATTGCATTATTAGTTCCAATAGAAAAATCTATGTTCATGCACGATAACGTTTTCCAACGGAAATTGATTTCTTCATATCTCATTTCATACCTAAATCATGCGAACATTTGCGCTGTGCTATAAAGATTATGCACATTCGTGACGAATTGTTCGGCAATGCCTCTCGCAACAAAGAGCATGTTTCGCACGGTTCATCATGAGAATCATGGAGATAAGAGGCTCAGTTCGGAGAAGATGACCAAAGTCTCCAACTATAGGTAAATGCATCCTATGGCCTCATACACAAAGAAGACTCTTTGTTTCGGAAAGGCGTGCAATGCGGCATATGGCCATGAAACACCGCCACTATTAAACAAAGTGTAGTGACACTCACATGGTATCAGCCATCAGGGGGTGGTTGAACCTAACGGGCGGGGTGTGACATTGAGCTCCGGTGCTGGGGGATAAGTACGGCCAAAGCTGGGTGGGGCGGCGGGGCTTCCTAGCTCAGAGACCGGAACAAAGCCGCGTTCAGTTCCATCGGGGCCAGGGCCGGTCACCACGCGGCGATCCGGCTGGGGGACAGGGGAAGAGGATGGATTGTATGTGACATATAGGCATAGGGTTACCTACATATGTAGGTAGGTATAGCCTATCGGGTTCGAATGTAGCAGGGGGGGGGGGGGGGAGGCGTAAGTGCTAAGACGCGACCCGATGAAATAGCAATGTTTTCCTCCGGCCGGGCTGCAGCAGATGTAATAAAACAGCAAGACTGCGTTAGAGTTGGGTCCGTTCTTTCTTTTTACTATTACTTTCGCATTGAAATCAAATGCAGTGCCAGCATAGACCACAGCAATTGTAACATGACGAAGTATATGTACTGTACCGGTTTCGTCCATCATAAAATGAGCTAAAAGGTTGGGATGGAGGTTGGCGGAGTTAAATGCCCGACCATAACGCGCAGAAACAAATTAACGTAGGTACTTTTGAATAATAACGCGTGTTTTCAGGCAATTCGACGAGCTTGCAACAGTCTACTTTTTTGTTATTGATAATAGTCGCTTTTGCTACGTGGGGACCGTGGGGTCATTTTTGTGATTGTGATGGTGCTTTGATCTGCTTGACAAATGATGATAACATAACTTGTATCTCCTTAAGTTCCAACTCCAGTCCGAATGTCTCACTGAGCGCACCAGCCAACACGGGCAAGGACACGTGCTCACGTGTAGCGGCCACGGGGCAACGTGCTAAATCGACATGGGCTCGCAAGGAACAATGGGCCGATCGTCATCGCTTCACGCTCCAGTGAAAGATCAGCTTGCAATCATAGCGTACCTATCCATATCTTCATCGATGAATGCCTGCGAGTGTCTACCGACTGTGGCAGCAAGCACCTATCATTTCTAGCAGCAATATAATCCATAAAATGATCCTAATTAAGCACCGTATTTGTGGCTGCGACACTGAACTCTATATTGGCCTGCGATGTCTCTACGAACTTATTCACGTGGTTCGGAAACTGTAGGTATAGACAGTGCACTGTTACGGTTTTGGGAGCAGAGGGCCAGCCACACCATTCTAAACGCTTTTTGTTTCACAAACAAGTCAGTGCCGACTGCCGAGATTTGTAAAGTAATACGCGATTTAAAGATTTTCAAGGCTTTAGCTACCGCTCGTTCCATGCCAGCCAGTCTAATCTCACACCTCATGGAGTACAAACAATGATATGAACTATAGAAGTAATGGTTCGGTGGTACCTACCAATAATAAACGACATTCAAGACCCGTTGATCGACAGACAAATGCAGCTGGTCATGGTCCCCAAAAGTCACGTCTATTTGTATTACTGGTAATCACTCATACCCTGTAAAAAGGCGTCCAGACTGTCCGGATACAAGTCCCAGGAATGTCGGAAATTTCCTGTATCGCCTAAGTCTGGCAAAAAAGCAGTGCGCTCGCAGGAATCGTGCGGTCGTATAGTACGCGTGATCACGGGCTGATTTTTGTTTCGTGAATCACGTGCCCGCGTGGGCGGCAGGAATCACGATTCACAAACCACAGTGACGATGTTGGTTGGTCAGTCTGAGCGGAATGTATGCAGGTAACCCGCAGGTGGGCCGACGCCCCACACCGGGTGTGTCATATGCAGGGTATATTGAGTTACAGTGTCATATGCAGGCGGTTCACGATGGGTCGCATTGGTAATGGACAGGGAAGGATATGGTTGGTGTTACGACTCGTCAACTAGCCATGCTTATTATCAATAATATTTTCTTACGCTCTATTCCATTCGTGATCGCAACTCGCAAGCGACCTGGCATAGTTACCATCGATACTTCGTAATATGGTCTATGGATCGACAAAGACTTTGAAATGGGACCGGTAAGGCTCCGTTACCGGTGAGGCTCGAACCCACTACCGCGAGGTGACGGGGGTTACATAATGCTCGTAAGCGATGTTAAGGAAAACAAGTTACAATGCATCGGGAAACCCGCGCCTATTTATGCAATTATTTCTCTAAGAAGGTAGCGCCTATGTTTCCACAATCAGTAGCAATCGAGCATGACATGCTTGAGAGGTTAGACTGCAAAAAGTCTACTATCGGCGTTTTGTTAATGGCTGTAAGAACCGCTTCATTTGGGACAGTCCAGTCGTCTTTTCATAACATGACCGCAAAAACGCACAACATTCATTTCTCCACATGAAACAATTAGGCATGCTTACCGGCCTGAAATCCAGGGAATCTATTTAAACTGGATCATACAAGCACGCTCCACGACAAATTTCATACTTCAACCATCTGTAAGTAAATGGACCATCCCATCCTGATTCTCACGCACCATGCAGTCAGACGCAGTACCGTGGTCTACATTACTCACTACGTATGGCCAGAGAGACAGATTGAATGAAGTAAAATGTCGACCACTTTTATGCGGTTCTTTCCGCCATCCACGAAAATTGACAATTTACAGAAGAGGGATAGCTTGGCTCCAACGCAAAATGTTTGATCTAATCCGTCTAACCAGTTGGCTTGATAACATAGGTGCTGTATATGTAGAGCAAGAACCACACTCCAACCGCCCTCCCTAGCCCTCCAGCGAGATCCCTAAACTTCTGAGAAGCTTGGGACAGACCCAACACCGTCAAGCGTTCAAGCAGTCACTGGACACTGGAGTCTGTACAGTTACGTTGACAGTCGAGTCGCGGGGGTGAAGGTGTCAGGCCCATTTCTGTCCGATGCATCTCGTCGAGTCTCGATACCCTGAGTTAGACTAACGACTACAGCGCCACCAAATAAGCTAGGTGGCGCCGAGGTCGGAATGACGCCTTAGGTAGGCCGCTGTATACTGAGGTCTAACACGCTAGCTAGCTAATAATGCTGGGCAATCACGTCAAGCACACTTTATCGTGCTGTTATGCGATGATCCCAGCAGACCCATGACAAAACACTTCATAAGAAAGGAAAGGTTTGAGTGAGGAAGTAGCATGTCGTCAAGAGGCATTACCCGGCATTTAGGTCCAGACTTATCCAGTACTGACGCACAAAGCCAAACAGTAGACATAAATGCTATGATTTTTTCCCGCACGTTGCTGCTAAAAGAACATTGCATCACCGGAGCAATCTTTTCAAATTACTTTCACCAAAGCGAACTACCGCAAGGGCGAAATGTCACCGAATTTTACAACGTCCGCCTTTAGATATCTATCCTAGACTGTGGCAAGGGGAAGCGGCACCGCGTCGCACCGCTAAGCCGTCAACAAACTATTCCACTGAGCCTCGTGGTGACGGGCCATAGGGGTGCGCCGGGGACATCATGACGCGGCGAAAGACGCCCTTTGCATAACACATTAATCATGCATGCATTAGTGTCATGATAGCTAGAGCTCATGTTACCTACATGCGATAAGTCCCAAAAAATACCAGGAAGTTGGCAGAGAAAAATTTAGAACACTACCAAAGTCCCCAAAATATGCATTTGTCCCGGGATTTCGGCACTTATCTGTTGGATGGAGTATTTGTGTTTCAGAGAGTGCAGTTCCCGATTCCCTCCCCTTCTCCGTGCCTTACCACTCCTTGCGCTTCGGAACGAGGACAAGGGCTAGTTGTCTGTGTCTGAGCCAAATGCTTGGCTGATTTGGCTCACAGCAACTGTGATAATTTCACAGTTGTGATAATTTTACAGTTGTCGACCACATGACATCAACGAAACAAAATGTCACAGATGTAATGAATAAACTGCACTATTTTACAGCTAAAGGATACCAAAAATCCAGAATCAAAGTTAATCAATACTTCTAATCTAATAGTCAATCAATACTAATAGTACTTCTAATCAGAATCTAATAGTCAATCAATACTTCGCAGTTCACGTTAAGGGGTAAAAGGATAAACTATTTAAGTAGATACATCATAGCCATGTATTTTTACTGTCAAGCAATGGCGTACACATCAAAACAAGTTACTTTAGATCACTTCACTAGCCGTCGAGCTGTGCTCTTTCCTCTATCAACAAAACATCATTTCATGCCCCGCCTAAGGAGCACGAATTCCCCTCAGCTAACCCAGCCCAGCTCATATCACAGCCTCACAGACCCCTCCCACTCTCCCCGGCGTGCTCCCACCCTCTCCCCTCTCACCGGTGTGAGTCGACGCACGCTCGGAGCGCGCGCACCGTCTCCGGCCCCACCTCCGTCAGACGGGTGATGAGCGGCGGCCCGTCCGGATCCTCGCCCGGTTCCAGCCGCATCAGACAGCTCAGGCGAATGATGGCCGTCTGGGCTCTACAGAGAATTCCCCTCAGACGGTTACGGGAGGCCGGGTCCGTGCGACCGGCCGCGCGCATACGGTCCGCCTCGGCCAACGACAGACCGATGATATCGCTGAGAATTGCGTCGGTGAGGACGGCATCCGCCGAGCGCGTGCCGTCGTTGAGTTTCACCTCGAGTCGCCAGCGACCTCCACTGATGTTCAGGCTGCTCGTCATCGTCATGATGAAGGCTTTGACAGTCAGCGACTGTCCGGGCCGCCACTGGGAGAGGTAGCCGAACGGCGGCTCCGGCGGCGGAGCGGGCGGCTCGTCCGGCTCCAGCCACGAGGACAGGTCAAACGAGGGCGCCACGCGGACCGGAGAGGCCGTGTACCCGGAGCTGCGCTGTGGGTGATCAGGTCTGGACGCTGGAGCCGACACGGACGCAGGAGCAGCTTGTGATGACAGCGCACCGGAGCGGATGTATGTGTCTAGGCTCTGTTGACGTTGTGTGGGCTTTCCGCGGCCCGATGAGGCCGTGACACTGCTATCCAGACTGCGCGGTGCACGGTTCTGGGCCGGAGCTGGCCTGTCTGAGTCCCACGGTTCTGTTCGACGCCGCTTCACGGAGGCCGGCGCGGACTGGGGATCCGGAACGGCCACCGGCTCCGGCGCTACAGCACGCTCCACAGCAGAGTCCACTAAACTGTCCAGGTCCAGCGAGGCCAGCTCGGCGTCATCCACGTCATCGGCGTCATCGAACGCTGCCACGGCTGCCGCTGATGACGCGGGGTCGCCCGCACCCACAACGGCGTCCCCGTTCGGCATCTCCAGGGCGGCTAAATCGGCGTCATCGATGCCGTCATCCGGGATGTCTGGGATGGCGGCAAGGTCGGCGTCATCCAGTCCGTCATCGAACAGGTCGGGCTCTGGCGCGGGCCCGGCGCGCGCCACTCCCGCCTGGTCGCTGCGGTAGCCGCTGTCCTCGTCCGACGGGCCGGGAGGGAGGCCGCCGGCGGCGCGCAGCCGCTCCTCGAGCACACGCTGCTCGGCGCGCGGGTCCTGCAGCTCCTCCACAGCGCCACCGAGCACTGATACCGAGCCGGCCGAGAGCAGCAGCACGCCGCGCCGGCACTCGAGCGGCGGCCGCAGCAGCAGCTTCAGACCGGCCGGGGAGGCGGTACTGAGCGCCGGCAGTGGCTCGCACTCCAGCGCCGACACCTGCTGCACGCCGTCAGTGAGGGTGAGCCGCAGCGCGCGGCTGGCGCGCGGCTCCCAGGGCGCGCGCGGCTCGCCCACCTCCGTGTTGGAGCTGTCGACGCGGCGCAGTTTGAGCAGCTGACCGTGGGCCGGCTGGCTGACGTCGACGACGCTCAGCAGCTGCACGGCGCAAGGCTGGCGCAGCGTCACCAGCGGCTGCTGGGCCAGTCGCGGCGGCAGCACGGCCACCGCCAGCGCCGCCAGGTCAGTGTCCAGCCACTGGTCCAGCACCAGCCGCTGCAGCTGGGCAGTGGATGGTGTACCACCCACCGAGCCAGCCACATGCTCCAGACAGGCGGCCAGCCACTCGTCTGAGACAGCAGTGATGCCCTGGCCATGCAGCCATGCCCGCACTGCACCCAGCTGTCTGCCATTCGCCGCCATTGGACCAGCACAGGGTTCAGTGAATACAATCAGTAACCCTCACGGTACCAGTGAAGGCATGAGACTTTATAGCCCACCAAGGAGTCAGCCATTGATAAGCGATTTCTGAAAAAGACAGCAATGGTTTGGTTAGTAAATAGTAATCATGAAATGATTAATGGCATGTAAATGTAGCTGCAGACATGTCTCTGCTGCAGTGCACTGAACTGATAGAAAAGCCTGACCAATCACTTCAGCACTTCAGTCAGCTCTGTTTGCAAAAAAAAAAACTTTTAATAGTTTAATGAATGTTCTCCAGTTTCCACATTTCAGTTCCATCAAAGCTGTTATAAGCTGAGTGAGCTGGAACAGCCAAGACACCATAAATTAGCACATTTTGCTATTTGCTGTTGCTTTCAATTAGGCACAAAATAAATTCTAATTTAATATTCTAGCAATTAGTGAGCAATCAGTTTCAATCATTAAAGGAAAAAGTTCACTTTAAACATGGGATTTTGAACTGAAATAGCAGTTTTGTAGCTTGAGCTGAGACAAGCACAAATCAGGAGCTTTTACAACCCAACAATCACCCTAGACAAAAATATTCGATTTCTCGTTACGCAAAGAGTGCCTTGCAGCCCGACTGGAAAAAATGCCTCCACTACGCTGAAGTTCTCGGCGGAGGTGATGCGCCGAAATTTCGGCGCAAGGGTTTATGCGCCGAAATTATTTTACCAAGCCATGCTTCATGCGCCGAAAATTTTCCAGGCTTACTGATGGCTGCAGGCTGTAGCCACGCACTTTTCGTCGAGGGGGGTGGAGGGGGGGGGGCTGGCGTGTGTGTGTGACTGTCTTCCAGTGACTACTGTCTACAGACGGTTGTTGGCACGGTCGACGGGATCGGGCAGACAAAAGACATCAGCAGGCCATGCGGGACCGAGCACCAGGGTTCCCTATCACAAAATCTCCTGACTCACAAACTCACTGGCATGTTCCATAACGTAACCTTTATTTTGTTGCCCGGCTCTGATCAGCAGTAGTGCCCAGCCGGTGACTGACGCCTGACGGGGCCTTCAACAGGCGTGGTGCAAGCACGGCCGATGGGATCGGGCAGATACCAGGCCACGCGGGACCGATTGCCAGCGTCCGCTCACAAACCACACGCCGGAAATACAGGAATCACAACGGTCAATAGGTACGCACACGATAGCATACGTTATCTGAACTAGGGGATTCGACAATCCATAACCTCACTCTGGATCGGTGAACTGTTCCCGCCGTGGGAGAGTCGCAATCAGGTTCACTGAACATGACTTAAATACCCTGAGACGAACACGAGACAAGATAAGTGATATTTAAGATCTTTAACTCCCGAAGACATTTAACCCTCGCCGGCCGAGGGGGGTTGGTGCCACCCCCGGACGTTTTTTTCGCGATTTACGCCGAAGTACGCCGAAAATTTCAGCACAAGCCGTCGATTTACGCCGAAGTACGCCGAAAATTTTCGGCGCAAACGCCCAACTACGCTCGAGTTCTCGACGAAAGCGTGCATTTTTTCCAGTCGGGCCTTGCAGAGGAATGTTATGTGTGCCTTGCTGAGGAATGCAGCCACGTCATCATCAGCCATGAATCAGCATGCTGCTTGCAGCCAATGCAGCATGCATAGGTTTGAACTATGCAATGATTGGTTAATGCGTGAAAGCCTCTGCACCAAACATTACGAAAGTGAGCAAGACACTCGGACCCTTTTAGTTTTAGTCTTATCTTCCACCAGGCACCAAGACATGCACCAAGGTATGCTACACCTCAATCTCATAAGCATTTCATAAATATCTCAATTTGGCCAAATTTATCATCAAACACTAACCCAAAGCTTTCAAAACTCGGAAAATATACATATTTTCCTTTGAGGACTCCAAGGGAGCCGCATTACACCGCAGCTTACATAAAACTTTTCTAATTTGTCATAAAATATTTATATTATGAGCCAATCACCACGCACGTTAATTTGTTAGTGGCACTAACCACCAATCAAAGAACGTCTTTTTGCTCACGAATATAGGTCTTATGACGTCATTGAACTTTATTTGTCAATCAACAAATATATACAGTGAGTGAGGATTTGGTGGCGCGGGAGCGGCGGGGGCGGGAGGTTTGAGAAAACAAATTTTGTATAACAAATATATTGCAAAGTGCAATACGGATTGTCAATATGCACTCAAAGATTCACAACGTGCAGCAATCAACAGCTTAATTCGCCCATCGCCGTCGGCGTCCTCTCTTTTTCTATTCCCCGATGAAGACTAATGATGACGAGGCTTTTGACTGGATTGGGATCAAGGTAAGAGCAAAGGGAAGCTGCTCCGTAATGTATTGGCATGGATAACATCATTCGAATTCACCTTTTCAATGACCTTTTCACCTTTCACTTTGAGAGAACGAAAGACGATCATCCGCGCACGTAGATGCATCAGCTGGAAAAGTGCCAAAACAGCATTTCCCGAAAATTTGCATCTCCTCAAGCTTCTAGCGCCGCTACGCTCTGCCTTCTGAAACTATCATTTGTCGATTTGTCCGCTAGGCGGCACTGGCTGTCGGACGCCTGGATCGGCACGTGTTGGCAGGCGCGATTGAATGAGTTGATTTTGCGGAGCTTGCTACTAGGGCGCGGACGGCTACTACGTGATGGGTCAGCAGGAGGCGGCGGTGCCGATGGTGCCTCGCTGGCGTCTTCGGCAAGGTCAGGCGCCAAGACAGCGCCGGGGCCGCCGCGTCAGCTGCCGCCGGGCTGGACGCGCCGCCGGAAGGCCGCCGCCGGTGCCAGATCGGCTCGGCGAGGGCTGAGACGGCACCCGTCAGCTGGCCGACCTGGAGACCGGCCACGCGGCCCGGCTGGACGCTGCAGTCGGCGATTCGGTGGTCGCCGGTCGGTTCATCAGCGGAGACCGCTGGCTGTGCGTGAGCCGCCCGCCCCTGGATGGACGTGGTGAGGGGCTGGGGTCGCAGCTGGCAGAGCCCTGCGTCCCGCGGCGAGCAAAGGAGGCCACTGGACACGACGCTGACTTTGGATCGATGGTTCGATTGAGGACAACTGTCAGCTGGTACTCGGGCTGTTGATATATCGTGTGTAGTGTGCCTATAGTCGGTGGCGAGTGATGCACGAACTGAAGCAGCGACTTTGTCATAAAATGACCGGTTTACCGGTAAATAACCGTTTATTTGTTAAAGATTCTTACTTTCGCACAAACGGGCTCAACCAGGGCTGGAAGCCAGTGAGGTGTTCTGGTGAGGCCAGCATTTTGCAGTTCTTCCGCGAAACGTGCCGGCCCGCTGTTCCTGCTCGCGGCCGCCGAGTGCGGACATTTCCGCTATTGCTGACGCTGAGTTGAGATGAAATCTGTCAACTGTTCAAATCGGGGCGCACAGGAAGTTAGACAGGAGATCAAGTACTTCCGGGGATACGGAGCTGTGCCTTTGGGGCTGCCGGGTTCCTACATATAAATAGGTTAGCTTGATGTCTCTGATCTTCGCCCAAGAGAAGTGTCATTATCTGCTCTCATTTATAATACCCTTTCTTTTCGCATCCCTGGGCATACCGCTCTCCCTCAGTCTCAGCTCCCATTTGCCTCCGCTAACACTCCCCACCATTCGTCCCCTCGTCACCGTTCGGACACCCCACCCCTCCCCTGTCGTCCGACTGTATCTCTAACCGGTCGCCGTCGCTTATCAGAGGGCTGGGGCTGACCGCACCGGCGCGGCGCGGCGCCCGCTGCCTTCCGCACCGCCGCCCGCGTGACTACCGCACTCCGCACAGCCAGGAAATGGACTCCCGGATTGTGTGCGGAAATGAGCGGTGCGACCCGAATCCCGATGTCCGCCGAGCATGAGCCGGTGGGCCCGGCGGGTTCAATCACTCGCCGAGGGCCGTGCGGAGAGCAGAGGGGCGGATGGCGAGGAGGGAGAGGGTGAGCGACTAACGGGGCTGGTGTTTGGCTTGTGTTTGCATCAGTCGGTACGTAGATATGTGACTTATAATGTCATTGACTCCTATGGCCTGCTGAGCTGATATTTAGTCGGTTCATCATTCAAACTTTGACAGGGTCCAACCATAAACTTCTACCGTGAATGTGAATTGTGATGACAAATAACCTGGCTCAATCATGCCAGACATGTGAAAAAGCACGCGATCCATCGGGCCGACCTCTAGCAATGTCTAGGTCTCAGTAGGCTTCCTCTCTTGGGCGCAGTTCATCCCATTGCGGTCGTCAGAGGCCAGAGCTGTCAGGGTCACATGACCATATCAAATCGGCCGGTGAGTTATGGATATAAGGGTATATCTGTGTGATTGTGTTGTCTTCATGTGCTGCGGGGGAGGGGCTGCCGCCGTGCGTTTGGTGACCAGGGACCAGGGTGCACACAGTCCAGGGCGGTTTGGTCTGAGGGCGCCGGCCAGGGTGCTGGTCTGAGGGCGCCAACCAGGGGCGCCAGTTATAGAGGGTGGGGTCAGGGTAGATGGCACGGATAAATCACGTGAAGCAGCCGTCTGCCACAGGCAAGCAGACAGCAGCCGGCGGCGCATATTGCGCCGCTGACGTATTGCGGAGCATTGACTTGTTGATGGTACCTAACCATGACTTTGCTTGGGCCTATTTTAAATGGGGGAGGGGTGTATGTCCAATATATTATGTAAGGCATCTTAATTATTTTTTTAACTGAGATAAAATATGGACCTGACTAATCCCCGTCACACTATTAGATATATCGGACTCACATAGCATATACCTCTTAATCAGCAATCAGATGATCCTACACGGTCCAGCAGACCGCCTCCCTGTCTCCATTACACTGCTCCTTTGGACCACACCAATCGAGGAGGCTCAGGACCGATACGAAACATTTGTCACTAACTCTGCCATCTGTCCCAAACTGCCGCCTCTTGCTCTCCCTATACCTGCCGCAGTCAGTGAGCCCAAACACCCGTGAAAATACACTCATAAGAGTCTCACTTGCCGTAATGAGACCGACCACAAAAACTGGCGGCCATCTGTGAGCAGTGCCACTAATCCGCACGTGATTACCAGCAGCGGCGTCCCCCGCGGGGCCGATCGGCTCGGGCCGGGCTCATTGTGAACAGCGCCGGATCGGCTCGGCCCGGCGACAATAACGACAAGTGGTCCTGGTCCGAGGGGGGAGGGGGGGGGGGGCGCTCTGGGCAGAGCTGTGGTCAGACGCGGGCGCCGGTGGCGGCGATTACTAGAGGATTACACGACACGGGACCGGTGGCGGCGCGTGCGGGGACGGATGTGGTCACCGGCTATAAATGGACGACGGAAAGGACAATCTGGCGATGGGTCGCTGCTTTTAGAGAACGCATCGCTTCGTAGCTTGAACCTTCTAGGTATTAGCCGGACTTGGAGGGATGCCGATGGCTACATCTGCAAGGAGTTTAGGATTCGCCATTCAGGGAAGTTACTTTTTTTCGTTTACTCTGACACATATCAATATGTTCAATATGTTTCAGGTACTTTCCGACAGTAAAATCTATTTCCATTTTACATGTCGGCATATCAATCCGGTTCATGTCCAGGGAACGCACGATTTCGGTGCTAATGCCTACTACTACCGTTGACCTTCACGATCTTTCCAGTTTCTCACCGATCAGTGATCATTGAATGGAAGCTTGCCTGAATCAAATGGCAGCTGAATATGTTCAAATTGTTAATCGTGACTGCGTGTTTTTCCTGGTTGCTTTACATGAACGGATACCGTCATTGGCATCTGCATTCTGCATATAAAGAGTTGATCGACTAGGGTTACCCGCGTGCTCCGCAACGCGAAGAAGGGTTATTTTTGACCAGTGGGTATTGGGTTGGTCTGTGTCGATTTGGTTGGTATCCATTTCGTTCGATTTCTTTTTGACGGCCAAGCATTTTGTAATAAAACAAAAAAGATACATCGCATCGAGGTGCCCGTGTCGTATTATCATGCGTTCTACTTTAGAATGATTCGAAAACTGACGTGAAGTCTTTTGAGGGCCATCGATGAATTCCGGTAAAAATGACAATGTAATGGTTTGTAACATTTACATTTTTAAGAATACTGTTGATCATTATGCAAAAATGAAGGCTGAGCCTTGGACAGAATTGAATGCTCTATCCAATGGTACCATATTCAATTGCCAAAGGTATCAGGTTATGCAGCAAACCCCGTGTGATTAATAAAGTGGCACAAAATTGACAAACACCATTTTCTCCTGTGATTTGCACCACCTTGATTTGGATCAATCAGCTTTTCACAATTTTTATATGAGAGGCGGTACCTTTCTCTTGCAAATAGGCGTTGATTCAACTCGCTCCATTTAACGGTCACCTAAAAATAAAATTAATTCCAAAATCCCTCAAAAACCGCAATTTTTCAAATAAAAGTGCCCTCTCCGGTGCACGTGGCGCGTGCTATCCTCTGCATTGCACACCATTCAATAGCCCGTTCAATTCTGTACACGATGCTGTTTTCCCCGTGCCGGTCGGACCCCTGGTCACCAAGATATTGCACGGGAACTGGACCCATGTCGGCCAAAATTAGCCGTTTTCGCCCGATTTCGCACGCCGATTTATACATGTAAAGTCTATGACGCGAATTTGCACTTTTTGAGCATGCGCCACGCGCTCCCTATCAATCCGATCGAGCTGAGTCCCCTCAAAGGCACGTCGCGCATCCTTGATCTATAAGTTGTGCAAATTTCACCGGGCTAGGTGCAACGGTCTGGCCTGTAGTCCACGCAAAGCACCACCAAGTCGGGACCTCGGTAACGGACAGACGCACCCTCCTCAAATAGTAATATAGATTTCAGGAGGCATCATTCTAGATCGGTGACCGCTGCTGCAAGATTCAGGAATGAAGGTGAGTTAGCCGCATAATTGAGAGGTCTTTCTACGGCAATAGTAGTTTTATATCTCAATGATACGCGATTTGCTGCACTATATGGATATAAATAGGTGGCCATTTTATAGCATCTTGCTAATTGCTTTCCTAAGAACTTAAAGTCTTGTCATTCTATAAAAAAACTGCTGACCTCAATATGCATTGTTCTTTTTTTTTCATTCCAGCGAATCGTTCTGCTGGTTCTGCTGGCCCTGGCCGCTGGAGATCGGCCATCGGCTAATGGATACCAAGAAAACTTCAACGCTCCATCTGGTTCAAACGGAATCTCAAACGGAGGAGACTACGACATCCTCCCTCTCAGCTCCTATGAATTCTCCAGCGGTGGCGAGGGCGACTACAAAAGTGACTACACCGGCGACTACTTCTCCGTCCCCGACTACGTGGTCGAGTACGGCATCAGTGACCCCTACTCGGGTGTGTCGGTGACCTCCCGTGAGGACCGTCTCGGGGACCGGACCGAGGGCTCGTACGCCGCGCTGCTGCCCGACGGTCGGAAACAGGACGTCACCTACCGGGTCCAAGGACCGTCCGGGTTCGTCGCCGATGTACGGTACACGGACGACAATGGAAGATACGGTACTGAGGATAATGGCAACATAGAAGAAAGCTACGATTTCCCTGATGCTAGAAGCAATGGAGGAAGCTACGACACTCCTAATATAGGCAACGGTGGTGACTCCAATGGAGGAGGCTATGGTGTTCCTTCTGTTACTAGCAATGGAGGCTCCAATGGAAGAAGATACGGCGTCCCTTCTGTTACCGGCAACAATAGTGGCTACAATAGAGGAAGCTACGGGGTCCCTGCTGTCACCAGCAATGGAGGCTTCAATGGAGGAAGCTACGATGTCCCTGCAGTTACCAACAATGGTGGCTTAAATGGAGGAAGCTTCGGTGTCCCTCATGTTGACAACAATGGTGGCTCCAATGGAGGAAGCTACGGTGCCCCTGCTGTAGGCAACAATGGAGGCTCCAATGGAGGAAGCTACGGTGCCCCTGCTGTTATCAGAAATGGAGGCTCCAATGGAGGAAGCTTCGGTGTCCCTCCTGTTGACAACAATGGCGGCTCCAATGGAGGAAGCTACGGTGTCCCTGCTGTTACCAATAATGGAGGCTCCAATGGAGGAAGCTTCGGTGTCCCTCCTGTTGACAACAATGGAGGCTCCAATGGAGGAATCTACGGTGTCCCTGCCGTTACTAACAATGGTGGCTCCAATGGAGGAAGCTACGGTGTCCCTGATGTTACCAACAATGGTGGCTCCAATGGAGAAAGCTACGGTGTCCCTGCTGTTGCCAACAATGGTGGCTCCAATGGAGGAAGCTACGATGTCCCTGATGTCACCAACAATGGTGGCCCCAATGGAGGAACCTACGGTGTTCCTGCTGTTACCAACAATGGTGGCTTCAATGGAGGAAGCTATGCTGTTCCTTCTGTTACCAACAATGGCGGCTCCAATGGAGGTTCCTACGGTGTCCCTGCTGTAGGCAACACTAGTGGCTCTAGTGGAAGAAGCTACGATGTCCCTTCTTTTACCAACAATGGTGGTTCTAATGGAGTAATCTACGGTGTCCCTGCCAACAATGGTGGTTCCAGTGGAGAAAGCTACGGTGCCCCTGAATTTGGCAACAATGGCGACTCCAATGGAGGAAGATTCGGTGTCCCTCCTGTTGACAACAATGGTGGCTCCAATGGAGAAAGCTACGGCGTCCCTGCTGTAGGCAATAATGGAGGCTCCAATGGAGGAGGAAGCTTCGGTGTCCCTCCTGTTGACAACAATGGAGGCTCCAATGGAGAAAGTTACGGTGTCCTTGCTGTTACCAGCAATGGAGGCTCCAATGGAGGAAGCTACGGTGTCCCTGCTGTTACCAACAATGGAGGCTCCAATGGAGGAAGCTTCGGTGCCCCTCCTGTTGACAACAATGGAGGCTCCAATGGAAGAAGCTACGGTGTCCCTACTGTTACCAACAATGGTGGCTCCAATGGAGGAAGCTACGGTGTCCCTGCTGTTACCACCAATGGAGGCTCCAATGGAGGAAGCTTCGGTGCCCTTCCTGTTGACAGCAATGGAGACTCTAATGGGCGAAGCTACGGTGTCCCTGCCGTCACCAACAATGGTGGCTCCAATGGAGGAAGCTATAACGGTGTCCCTGCTGTTACCAACAATGGTGGCTCCAATGGAGGAAGTTACGGTGTCCCTGCTGTTACCAACAATGGAGGCTCCAATGGAGGAAGCTTCGGTGCCCCTCCTGTTGACAGCAATGGAGGCTCTAATGGGCGAAGCTACGGTGTCCCTGCCGTTACCAACAATGGTGGCTCCAATGGAGGAAGCTACGGTGTCTCTGGTGTTACCAACAAACAATGCTGGCTCCAATGGAGGAAGCTACGGTGTCCCTGCTGTTACCAACAATGGAGGCTCCAATGGAGGAAGCTTCGGTGTCCCTGATGTCACCAACAATGGTGGCTCCAATGGAGGAAGCTACGGTGTCCCTGCCGTTACCAACAATGATGGCTCCAATCGAGGAACCTATGATGTGCCTGCTATTACCAGAAATGGTGGCTCCAATGAAGGAAGCTACGGTGTCCCTATTGCTTACAGCAATAGTGGCTCCAATGGAGAAAGGTACGGTGTTCCTGCTGTTACCAACAACGGATTCTCCAAAGGAGGGAACGTCAGACTTATGTGCTCCTTCCGTGAACAATGATGGAGTGAGATATTTGTCATTGAATAGACCGTTATGCCCCTTTAGAAGCAGCAATACAGTTTGTCATTAAGTTTGTGGATTTAGTCGATTTACGGTTTACCTATACCTTTCCCTCACGATATATGTACTTACCTATGCTAGGTGTGTAAGTTGCCCTGTGTCATTTGGTGGCATAATTTATTTTGTGACTTGTGATTGCTTCATCCTTCAATAGCTTTAAATAGCAGCTGTCAACAGCTATGCAATTTGGTTGTCAGATTTATGGAGAAGTAGTCGATGTATTTTTAGTCATATCTATGTTTTGTCCATGATGTTTTATGTCTGTTTGTCTATAGCCCTTGCTTGTTTGTCTAGATGTGTGTTTACCAGCTGTAAATACATTATTTTATCTCAGCCCGTTAAGTTTTAGTGGAGGAAAACCCCCATGGTGCGGGAACTTTTGTTTGCTTTGTTGGGTTAGGCCCTTTCGGTCCCCAATGAGACCATTGCACAGCCGGGAGGATGATAGGAATTAGGAGGAGACATTCTGGGCAGGCACTCTAGTGAGTCGCTGGGGCTGAGCCCATCCGTTAGGACAGGCCGATCAGCCCCCCAAGCACTCATTGCACCCGGCTACGGGCGGGGTGGGCTCCCTTTGAAGCTGCGGTGCGCTCCAATGGGAGCCGCCCGCAAGCGATAAAATTGCCTGTCCAGAGAAGAGGTTGCGACGCAGAGGAGAAATATTTGAATATCCTGAGGATGGGAACGGCGGAACGGGTGTGCGGGAACAGTCAATTCGTATGCTTTCATCTCAGCCATGTCTGCCCGTCTTCCGCGTTCCGTTACGGTCAAACTCGGTTCGCCCGGAGCGGGGTGACTGACCTGATGGGGGTCAGGGGGCACCCGCGGTCACCGCCCCGGGGCGTGTGGCGCGCGCCGTTCGTGGCGCAGCGGCGGCAAACAATGGCCACTGCTGCGCCACGGACGGTCAGCGTGGCGCAGCGGCCGTCACGACCGCGGACGGTCACGTGATCGAGTCTGGGTCACGTCATTGGTCGGAGGGTAGGGACATGCGGGGGGGGGGGGTACGTTTAATCCTGTGCGGCTTGGCTCCCCGTAGGATGGAGGAACGTGGATTCATTGTAGGAGATAAAACTTGACCTTGTTTGCACGACGGCCTGACTGAATGATCAGATAAAAAAAAAACTGAACTTCGTCCCTTTACGTGAATATGTGCCTATTGTACGTACAGCAGCCTGCAGCAGCAATTGTCTCGCTGGTATTATTTGCTGCTATATTCGGGAAACACAGAAGGTGCGGTGTATCCTGTCAGGCTGCTTGATTGACGAGCGCTTACTGCATTTCAGGAATGGACCGGATACATCAAGCGACAAGATGCTATGTTGGAACTCACTGATTCGCCGTGCATCGTCTCGGTACAACATGTTGCGACAGAAGATGGGTTTTCCTACCACGAGAGAGGTCAGTCCTGTTTATTTTCCTAATTCCACTTTAGCATCACGTCCTATCTGGAGACACTCATCTCAAACCTTCATTTTAACTCTTGTTGTCCTCAACTTCTAGGATTTGCGGCTGCCCGTGACAGCCCTTGGACATCTCCATTTGTCGGCGGTCACGTTTACCCTTTCTCCGACCCGCCTTTTGGACACCTTACTTCCTTGTGGCGGACCGTTGGAAGTCGGTCGTCACACCAGCATTATACCATCAGCGATAACCACAAGTCCGGAGCCGGGGCTGGGCACTGGGCAGGTAGCCGATAGTTACTTCGATACCTAGTTACTACGATAGTTACTACATCTTTCACAGACTTCGTCGCTCTTCACTCCGCCATCGTGCTCCACGCCGTCGGGAGGCACGGCGCATTGCAGGGCGCCTAGCACAGGGCGGTCATTGACCAACCCGACCAACCCAGAGCGGTTTGCACCAACCGTGACAGAGCTCGATAAGGCAGTCGCTTTCGCCTCCGTCCGGCCTGGCTTCTGCCCGTCGGACGGAGGTGAGACCTCCGTCCGACTCCGTTCGGTCTCACTCCGCCCGTTAGCAGGCTGGATGTTTCAGGCAGTTTGCACGAAATCGAGCAGCGCGCCCTGTGACCGATCCATGGTGACCTCTAGGTGACCGACAGTGACCTCGACTTGATGTCCTTACAACTCAGTCACCTTAGGAACTCAATGATATTGTAGTGAACACAAGGTGACCACCGATGATCTTCAGGTGACCCCTAAAGATACCTGTGACCACAGGAGCCCCGGTGACTCAGTTTACTTCGGTTACCATCAGCCTGACCCTAGTCAGCAGTGGTTGAATATCAGATACCGGATGGGTCGCACCCAGTAACACCCCAAACATTGTCAGAAGACATCCGCCCAGACGCGCCCCTTGTGTCGGTCTACGGGCACTAAGGTGTCTCACATCCGTATCTGATATAACAGACCTTTTTAGTTGATAATTTCATCCTAACCCGTCGGTCTTTTCGCATATTCCCTCTGATATGCATGAGTTGAAACACACTTGATATTTCTATGACAATAATTAAACAATGTAACACAGCTATTTGCGCCCTTGTCTCCGGGTGAACCATTCGGACACGTTCATCGAAATGTTTTATAAACACTCCTATTGCGACATTTGGGTAACAGGCGAGCTGCTTGGCCCCGCCTCGTTGGTTGTGCTGTGGTGTTGACAAGTGAGGAGTCACGACCAGGCGATTCGGACGTGTCTAGTGATGTTAGAACAGAGGCGACAGCTCAGTCGTGACCTCCCTGAGACAAAGGACCTCAGGTTGATCACCATTGGCCAGTAGGGATGGGTGCAGCTGGGCGTAGCGGACACACGATAGATGAAAATCTCGCATACATATTGTGATGACCAAAAGGCAAAGGAAATTTGGTCCTCTGTCTTCGCCATATTTTTTCTTTTTGTTATTCGTTCTCTCACACCCGATTGTTTCCCAGTAGGGGAGAGTGGGGTAATTTGGCCGCTTTTTTACAAAACGATGTAACTAAAAATCGACAGCACATTTCTGCATTTTCTCAACGCTGACAGGTGTGGCATACAATTTACTTTCTTGGACAGTAAACTTGAAATGATAGAGTAACTACTTATATTGAAATTGTGGCGTATTACAAAGGTCTGCAAAGCGGCCAAATTGCCCCACTGGCAGGGTTATTTGGCCGGGGGTGTGGGGCAATTTGGCCGGTGTTAGTTTGAGGCCATGATTTTTGTTATAGGCGAGTCAGCTTCACATTCAGCAATGACGCGTGTCCTACGACGCATTTTAAGCATTTTGGAGGTTGACTCAGCCGTCACAGGGGTCGAAAATAGTCGAAATAGCGGCTCTAGATGCGATGACAGTTTTTTTACGAATAGCTTTTGAAGTAATCAAGCTAGGCCAAAACTAAAAGTGCCATCGCAATTCTCTCGTCATTCCGCATCGAAACATGTATGTGTTGACCTCGAGAGGTCAAGGTCAAAGGTTGACTTCAGGTCACGTTACCTCAGGTCGCTTGACCTCAAGGTTACGTGAGTTCAAGGTCATCATGTATATCATTCGATTCGCCTTGACGAGCTGAACACAATGACACCATTTGCGCGGCTGTATCTTTTTTCTGTACCTAAGCATATATTAGCAAAAAAGCGTTAGGTAACCTTTGATTGATGACGTCACATGCCCTTACAGCTGTCCAATAGGAAATATGGCATCAAGGTAGTCAAATTTGGTCATGAATTATGTCCTTTATGGTATAATTGACCATGACAACTCGGCCGTCCCAGCATAGTGACTCTGAGCGCACCGGCCAAGTTGCCCCGCTAGTCCCGGCCAAATAACCCCACATTGCCATTCTGAAAATTTTTGTCTATAAAGTCGTCATGGCTGTACAGAACTAGATGAAATTGTTCTTGGAACCGCTGAACACCCTCAAAAATGGCGCTATAATGTTGGAATTCGTTTACAGCCCAAATACTACATGTTATACAATTTTTTAAACGGAAGTAAAAGTTACCATTTTCTAACGAAATTCACCTTTTATTGATTTTGAATAAAACTAAGAGGGGGAAATTTTTGACATTTGTTCTCGAGTTAGTTCTGCCGACGACAAATGAATAGAGACTAAAAATATGTCATTCACTTTTATCAGCTTTCGTACAGGTGGGGGCGGCCAATTTACACCACCGGCCAAATTACCCCACTCTCCCCTAACTCTCCCGGTGTTTACCTCTTGCCGTCCCTCTGGCCGGCCGGCCGGCGGTGGTCTGATGGTCCGTGACCCCTCCCTCCCCGTGTGTCGGTGGGCGGGCTCAGGGCTGTTTAGCGCCCTGACTTGTCGGGTGGTCCCCCTCCTACCAACACTCACACCCGTCCAGTGACTGCTCTGAGCCGTCCACCGCTCCTGTCTGGACTCCATCGAACCGACACGTTTTTTACCCCTTCTGCGATCGGCCCAATAACGTTTAGGTTTTTACTGGTGTTCTTATCATTCGTTATGGCGCCTTTCAAACTACAAACCGTCAAATATAGACAGAAGGGTGGCATCTGGTGGTAGCTGTTATCGACATACGTGGTATGGCCTCGATGAAAGCGAGAAAAAGTGCGGGACATTTTCTAATATAAACGCCACGACTATCTATTCTTAATCTTCGTGTATATTAAGTCCATGTGCGTTGAACTCTGCTAGAATGTTATCTTTATTCTTTTATTGCATAACCGCCATAACATCGAATTAGTTCCTGTAGATTTGTTGTTTCTTTTCATTCTTTCCTGTCAAGCCATATCTTGTCCCTGCCCGCCTGTAAGATCCTACACGGTACACCATCCCGTCCCTCATCTTATCAAACTGCCCGATCCTGTCCCGTCCTATCCCGTCCCGTCTTATTCCTTACATTGCCGTCCCACCTCATCGTTTCATCCCGTCTGTCTCGCCCAATCCGTCTCCTCTCGTCTGTGCCATACCAAATCACACTCAGTCCCGTTTCGTGCCGTGCCGTGCCGCCCCCGCCCCCGCCCCCGCCGGGGCGGTCGGTCTGGGCGGCGGCCGCCGGACGACAGACTGCCACAATGCGCCCTGCTGCGGCGGCCTCCGCCTAATCCGCCCCGAGCTCTGATTGATTCGCTGGGAGCGTGAGCCGACTGGAAAAACGCTGATGATTGGAGGAAATAATCCCGCTTTGGTGAGCGACAGAGCTGGCGTGACCCCGCAGACTGGGCAGACACTGCCCGCCGCCCGCTATTCGCCCCTGGTCGGTCGCCGCCGTTATCCGCCTCTGACCGACCGCCGCCCTTGCGACCGCTACCGGTAGCGTCATCGCTTCCATCACCGCCCTCATCGCCGTCACCGTCACCGGCATCGCCACCGTCATCGTCATCGTTATCACCTCCGCCCTCCGTGGTCTGCGAAGAGATGAGCTCTGTGTGTGAGTCGCAGGGATGCCGGATAAGGATGCAAACTGAAAGCAGATTGGTACGGGATAAGACATCCTGATTGGGAATTGTATCTGAGGATCACGTGTCGGATAGAAAGGACCTCAGGGAGATGAGGAAAACTGTCAGAATAGTGGAGGCAGATATGTGTCTTGTCGTTGGGGACAAAACGGGGTGCAGCATAGATATTTGAATCTGTGTGTCGGTATACCTGATGATTTAGCTCTAAAACAAACCACGCGAGCCGAAAACAAACTATCGGTGATCTTTGACCTAGACTGTTCGGTAGTTGAGGCTAGCCACCGGGTCTGCTATCTGTTTCGTGTTTAGGCATTACATCAGCTGATCATTTTTCCCAGCGCCTCATGCTGGCTCAGGCTGAGAGCTATATGAGACTGAATGCATATCATAGCCACAATGTGCCGCATAGGCAAATGTCAGGATGTTTCCCGGCGGAAGGTTAGGTCGATTGAAACAAAATCCCAAGGATTACACGAGCCAGACTGGATCGGATCATATGCATTGGAGCCTGGATTGTGAACTAAATATGGCTCTGAAATATAACGCAGCGCAATGCCGGCGTTGCATGCGGATAGGTATATCGCTTTGGTTTTCACTGCATTTCGCTCCTCATTGGCATGTCAATTCAGAATGTTGCGTTGCACATCTTCACTTCGATGGGACAAATCTCATAAATCTTGCTGGACCTCATCGTTAAGACTCAAGACCAAGAGATGTCAGGCTGTAATGCGCTCATTGGTCACTTGACACCATGTTGTGATGGCGGTAATTCCGAATTCGCGAGGCGGGCATGTTGGTGGACTCGGCATTCATGTAACTGTGGAGCGAAATGCCCATTCCGATAATGTTTTTCATTCCTATAAATGTTGTCGGTTATTGGTCCCCCTACGTATTCACAGAGACTGCTATCCTACCAATATTGTTTTTTATACTGGTATTGGGCACTGCATCAATGACGTCACCACCGTCAACTGTCAGTGACGTCACTGGAAGGGACTGATGGGAAAGGCTTCCGCTGTCT